CTTGGGATCATGTTACAGAGTTCAGCTGAGCCTCTCCCACCTAGAAAGACTTCAGAGAGAAGATTTTAACTGACAGTTTGAGAAACTGCTGACTGGGGGGGGGGGGTTCATTAATAACTGGCATCTTTCCTGACTAAGAAATCTCTACTTCCAGGCTTGCAAGCTTAAGAGACTAAGTCGGGACACAAAGTTGTCTCCAACTGTATACTGTGAAATCTCTGGCCCTTCAACCCCCTACTTACCTAGGATCCCTTGGCTTCCACCCTGTCTCAATGTGAATGCCATCAGTAAGACTCCTCATCCAAGGGAATGCTCCTTTGCCTCCTGTGGTGGCCTTGCACCGGTATGACCCCAACATATTCCCTTGTGCACCTGATCTCACCAGTGGTGTACCTCTCAGCCCCTGACACCTCCCACTCAAATCTTCAAGCTCTCTCCTTTTCAGCCTTAGGCTTTCTCCATCACATAAGGAGTTCCTTGGCTCACATGGAAGGGCAATTATCACTCTCAAGAAAACTAACTGCCTGAAAAAGAAAGGAAAACTATGCATTGAAGCTGGGGTTTGGGGGCAATTGTTGTCTGTTCTAGCTGCCCTGAGCTGCCATGGATAACCATGAGGCAGGTTCTGCGTGCTTTTGCAGGTGGTATGAGCCCCCAGTGGCCACAGCATCCCTTGCTCATTAACACAGAATGTATTGGTTCTCACCCCACATCACTTCCTGTGTAGCCCACACTTACTTTCCATAAGCTGCCTGCACTCAAATTTGTTTGGGGGTCATTTTGAGGAGCCTGAATTAAGACAATTACTTCAACACTCTAAAGCACTGTCCCTTTTGTCTCCTTGGGGACTGCATGCTGGCCCCCTGATAAATAAATTCTGCTGAGACATCAAGTTGCTAGGATGGCAACTATGGGTTCCCTGACATGTATGAATACCACCCTGACCTAATTCTATCTTGGGGGATGCTGTGAGCACATCAGAGGATCCTAAGGGTCTGTATCTCCTGTAAAAGGGGTGACCTGGTGGACACGGCCCAGGGGGATGAAGTATTTAGCTGAAATGGGTAAGTATGAACAAACCCTTCAAAAGAATGGCCTAAAGAGTGTGTTCAGGTATCTGACCACATCATCAGTCTGCTCCTTGTACAAAAACAAAACAACACAAAAAACTACAAGGACCTTCCTCCAGTTGGAAATTGTCCTGACCAGCCACAGTGTCGGCCAAACCACAGCCTCTCCCCTACGAGGAAGGCAGAAAGCCAGGTCTCCTGTCCTATTTGGGGGACAGGAGGTCAGTTTCATGTAAGGTAGCACAAGAAGAACCACAAAATGCCCTATCCCAAATAACTTTTCCAAGTCTTTTGTACGGGAAGTTTATATCGGTTGTGCCCATCTAGAAAATGCTCTCCATGGCTAACACACAGTTCCTGCTTTAACATGGCAATTTATAAAGCCCACCGTTTCTGGGGTGGGTGGTTAACTCCTCTAGAAACAAGGAAGGGGCCCAGGAGTCTCCACGGATAGGCTAGAAGTTGGACTGAGATTGTCTTTGAGTAGCCAAGGAATGTTATAGGAAAGGCCATTTCAGAGTTTGAATGGGGACCACAGAATTGACAAGCCATGCCACCACCACCATTTCCAGCTTCACCTCTTAAGGTCTGCATTCCAGCATCAGGGCCTCCCCTGCATCACCTCTGAGAGAAGACAGAGGGCAAGAACGCTGGCGCTGGGAATTTGTACACACACACACACACACACACACACACACACACACACACACACACACACTCCGACTCTGCACATGGGTGGAAGTCACAGCTGCTTGCAGAGGATACTGCTACTACTGCTTAGTCTCTAAGATACTGTGGATGCCCGTCTGTGGAGGTTTCACTCGGTTCAAGAGCTTAGAAAGACTACTGAGGGACCGCCCAGTAGTCTGAGACCCTCTTTTAGCCAGACTGGGAGGCAGGCGGGGTCCCCGGGGCGGAGGGGGGCGCCAGGAGGGGCGGGCCACCAGGGCTGGTCCCAGACTGTGGGATGAGCTGCAGAGAGAAGCAGCAACTCCAGAGACACAGCCGCGCAGAAGGGCACGGAGGAGAGCAGGACTGAGTGGCACACGCCCACCAAGCACGCGCGCGCCTAGGCCAGCGCTAGCTAGTGTCCCCAGAGCCCGGGCGCGCCCACCTATCGCGCCACCACAGGCCTGGGGGTGCACCACTGGAGGCACCGAGGCAGGTGAGTGCCGGGTGGCGGTGGGCTGACTCCGGCACTGAGAAGTCCTGGAGATCCCTTCCGGCCTTGGGCCACTGAGGTTGGGGACTGGGGCATAGCTCAGGAACCAGCGACTCGGGCAGAAGGCGAGTCGAGAAGGGCGGAAGTGTCCGGGACATTCCCACGACCCTCAGACAGCCCTGGTGGCCGGCTTTTCTTCTTGGGTTTGAATTTCCCACTGGATATCTAAACCCCGGGCCAGGGCAGTCTTGGTCTCCGAGGCGAGTGGGAGACAAGGGACCCGCGGGCGCGCTCTCCCCTGTTGTCTGCGGGCTGGTGCTGAGAAGCGAGCCAGGACTCCCATTTATCTGTCCCCGGTGTCACACTGTGCGAGACCAATAGACAACCCAGAGGGAGGATACTGGGGTGCAGACTTCGCTGGAACCCCAAATGTCAAGTGTGGTGAAACGGCGCAGTTGATCCGTGTGTAGCAAGTTGAGGTTTCACTAAAGCCCCTGTGACTGCTGCTCCTGGCCAAGGTGACGATTCATGTCCCCTGCCCTCACAAGACTGGACAGACCTCACTGTCCAGTTTGATAGCTTCTTGCTATCCCTACTCGCAGCTCCCACACTGGTAGATGTGGTGGGTGTGAAAGGAAGGTGATTCATAGATGATGAAACAGACCAAGTTAGGTTGGGGTCCCCCCCCCCAGCCACCCAGAGACCCGTTTCCCTGTAGCAGTCACCTCCCGGGGGATAGCATTCTAGAGACTTTATTTCCTCTCCCTACTGTGGACATCTCAAGACACCAAGGATATAAAGGAGTTCTCAAGCAACGACGGACAGACAGCCCTAAGAGTCCCTGGTCATCCCCACCCACTCTTAAAGGCTGTTTTCAGTTCAGTCTGGTCTCTGAGCAGCCACCACTTCAGACAACACAGACACTAACAAGGCTCAGTCCCTCGTTAGTCAAGGGTGGATGAGGATGGGAATCTGGGCGCCCAGGGAAGGGGTCTGGACGCAGACCCAAAGCAGCAGAGACAACCTGGGGAGAAATGATTTATTCTAGAGCAGGTTTTTTCATTCAGGAGGACCTCAGTCACTTGAGAATTTCTTACATGTCCCTGAGGTTAAAGCAGGCATATAAATCAAACATTTACCGATAAAAATCATTAATGTATTTTAAAACAATGTTTTGATATGCATATAATTTTACCATCTATTAATGAGGTTGGCAAATTTGCATACTAAGGAGATGGATTGCTTATTTTTACATAAGGAATAGAGTATCTTCAATGTTTTTTCAGAGTTGAATGACATTTTGATTTTATAATCATCAATGCTGAGAATGTCACTTCATATAATTTGTGGTATAAATGAAAGAAGTGTTTCAGGGCCATTTGAGAAACTGTTGAAAATTCTGTCCTAATTCCTTGCCAGATTTCATTTAATGACCTTTTTTTTAAATGAAGCTCAAGTTAGGTGCTCAAACAACAATTTTTTTAATTTTTATTATACCTATGTGTCTGTGTGGTGTGTGTGTGTGTGTGTGTGTGTGTGAGAGAGAGAGAGAGAGAGAGAGAGAGAGAGAGAGAGAGAGAGAGAGAGAGAGAGAAAGTGAGTGTTGAATACCTCTGAGGCCAGAAAAGGGTATCAGAAAAGGCAGCTAGAATTACAGACAGTTTTGAGAACTGAACTCTGAACTCTGGTCTTATTCAAGAGCAGCAAGCACCCGAGACTACTAAGTCATCTCTCAGCCTTTCACGATGAAATTTTTAAATCAAAAATGTTTTAGCACAATAAATCCAAGGATACCCCAGTTAGTAGCTGGATGAAACAGTGTGCATCTATAATCCCACTGCTTGGGAGACTGAGGCAAAAGGATCAGGAGTTTAAGGTCAGCCTAAGTGGCACGACTCTGCCTCAAAAATAAAAAGCAAACAAAAAAGATAGACCAATTTGGTACTTACATACTCAGGAATGGTGACACTCAAAGTCTTTTGTTTTGCATAATTAAACCATTATGTTTCTATGAGATCAGAAAACTTTGGTGTACAATAATTGTTTAAGTACAATTCATAGCACAGTCTGGTCTGAGGCAAGGTGGTTTCAGGCCCTGTTCACTGGCACTGCAGAGAGAGATAGCACGCAGGGCAAAGTGCACATGCATATTTAGAAACAACGCTACAATGAAATCTCCTGATGCAACGAGGTTGAGGGGTGCCAGAAGCAGCTTCAATTCATTGCATATTTGATTTTATTGATTTTTGAACTGATTTTGGGTCGTTCAGAAACCATTTACTGTCGCCTAACTTTTTACAAACCCCGCAGTTTAAGAGGCTGTTTTACAACACAGTTTAAGAAGCTGGCTTCTAGAGCTCCTAAGCAAAGAAAAGGCAAGCAGCGGGAAAGCCACTCCCACCCACCAGCAGATTATTGTCCATCCCCTGCCTTATGCCATTGTCTGATAAGGTTGAGAGTAACAACAGCCAAACCAGCACTGTCTGCTGGGAGAAGAGCAAGGGTACCCATTCCCCTTGGGTTTCTAATGGAGAGTCCAGTTCCCTCTGTGGCCAGCAGGCAGAGGGTCTCTCATCTCTTGCCACTGGGTGGGTCTGGTTGGACTGTACCTGGGAACTATGGGAGAATACTGTTAGATCTGATATTTGCTGTCCATTCCTTGTATCTCCCCACCCCAGATCCTGGATGGTATCAATTCTCCCCAAGGATTCCAGCAGGAAACTGCACACACTGGCCCCTGCTGGAGGTGCTGAACTCCACCTGGACACTCTTTCCTGATACCATGCCTCCTGCAGGCATCAACATGGCATCCCAGAACAAAAACACTAGCTTTGCACCTGACCTGAATCCATCTCAAGACCACATCTCCTCCCTCCCCTTCAACTTCAGTTACAGTGATTATGACCTCCCCCTGGATGGCGATGAGGACATGACCAAGACACAGACCTTCTTTGCAGCCAAGATTGTCATTGGCGTGGCACTGGCAGGCATCATGCTAGTCTGTGGCATTGGCAACTTTGTCTTTATTGCTGCCCTGGCCCGCTACAAGAAGCTTCGCAACCTTACCAACCTCCTCATTGCTAACTTGGCCATCTCGGACTTTCTGGTGGCAATCGTCTGCTGCCCCTTTGAGATGGACTATTACGTGGTACGCCAGCTTTCCTGGGAGCATGGTCACGTGCTTTGTGCTTCTGTCAACTACCTTCGTACGGTCTCTCTTTATGTCTCCACCAATGCCCTGCTGGCCATCGCTATTGACAGGTGAGGTTCACTTCCGCTTTCACAGGCTGGCATCCCTCCAGATGCGACTCCTCAATTTGAGCGAGCTGGAAACTTCTGAGTCCCATAGTTCTGGTCATGACCACAAAGGCAGAAGGCAAAAAGTTCAGATAGCAACTACTCAAAAGCCATGGGGTAGTTAACTAGGGTAGCTCCCAGTCTAGGCCATGGTACCAAGTTTCCCATGTAGCTGGATCCAGATACAAAACATTCCATTGCCTAGGAAGCTTTCTGTGCCCCTGGTGGTTTCCACTCCCAGTCCCAGAAATCACTCTCTGTCATCACAGTTCAGATGTGTTTGTTCTTTAGCCACTTCATCAGAATCATGCAGCATGTGGCATGCCTTCTAGTGACTTCATGGCAGAGCTGACTTGGAAGTAAGAGAGCAGAGTTTGCTTACAGGAAAAAGGGAAGGACATGCTTGCTTTTGCTCTTTTGCGTGCATCTGCATGCTTATTTACATATATTTGCATGAGACCTTCTAGAAGTCCTTGCTCTATTATAAATTTATAGGTAAGATTTATAAAAGCAGCTAATGAGGAATCTTGCATGTTTCATTATGTACACAGTTTCAGGTCAGCATTGTCACCAGTGGCAGGGTAGGGGATGGCAGAGGGGATCTTTGACGAGTTCACCCCTTTGAGCTGTTGGGAAATGCATTCTGATATGTGCTTAGTGGCCTTCCCTTTTGTCTCCTTCAGCTCTGGCGTTTCTCTCTTGTTCTGAGTGCTGTTTAGTGCTTTCTAATACACCAGTTAGTTATTTTTCATTTCTATTAACAAAAGACACAGGAACAAGATGCTTTGTATGGCAGAATACCTGTGGGAATGCACCTTTGTTACATACAGCTCTGAGGCTCTGCAGCCGGGAAGCCAGCTTATGAAATGCACACTCACCAGTCAGCTGCACAAGAGTCTTCAGGAAAACCATCAACCTATCACTTGCTATAGTGACTGAGTCTAGTTCCTGAATCCCACCCACCCAAGTCTCCTGAATGGGAGTTGCAAAAACTCTGCATTTTTATTCACTTTCATGAGTGACTCTAAGCGATTTGTTGTCACCACCCCCTTGTAAGCTTTGTGTCAGTGACGGTGACATCAATTTTGCTTTCTCTTATGGTCTGTGATGCTACAACTGCTTAGGAATCAATGGCACAGACAGCACAGGTTCCATTTTACCCCAGCCAATACTTCCCCACACAGCTTCCACACTCCACCAGCTGTGCCACCACTCCCAGTGACTGTCATCCTCTGCCTTTCTTCCCGTCCCTCTCCCACTGGCACCACACTCATGTTCAGCTTTTGCCACTCGGCAAGTCATGATGGGCACTCTGACGCTCTGCTGACCTGTCTCTTGTTCTCCAGGAGAACTGCTCCCTAAAGTCCATGTCAGTCCATATGAAGCATCCGAGCATCACTGCTGCTGGCTCCTCCTGAGATATTCCTTTGCTTTTGAATTCTCCAGAAGTCCCAGTGTCACAGTGTATACTGTGACTTTCTTTGGGTTTTTTCTTTGGGTTGCCAGCTCACAAATAATGGCATGGAGATTTATTATTATGAAAGATGGACCTTAGTTTAGGATTATCCAATTAGCTCTTATAACTTAAATTAACTCATTTATATTAATCTATATTTTGCCTCATAGCCTTTTACCTTTCTTACATCCTGTATGTCTGATTCACCCTGCCTCCCCCCACCAAGTGCTTGGGGTCCCCTCTACACCTCGATTATCTTCTCCTATTTCTTCTCTCTGCCTGGAAGTCCTGCCTATATCTCCTGCCTAGTTATCGGCCATTCAGATCTTTATTAAACCAATCACAGCAATATATCTTCACACGGTGTACAGATATCGCACAACAATCACAGGATATAAATCCTGAGTCTAGCATTGTGGGCTATGCCAGCCTGACCTTCCAATTCATATTGTGTATGGAAATATACATGTCCTTCCCCAAAGATACATTTTAAGCGCAATCATCATGTCTTTGGTCTTTTTGTCTCCAACTGAGATACCTATATGTTAGTTTATGCTATCCCCCAAACCCTCTGACACAGGGATCCATGTGCAGATGAACTAGAAAGTACTGAGAGGGGAATGAGAACTGAGGGCAGAAGATACATTACTAAAGCTTCCCTGGGGATTCCTGCTAAGGAACCTTTGGAGTAGGTGTGGATCACAGCTCAGAGTTCTCCAGGAGCAGAAGGAGGGAGCCAGGGCTCTGAGCATATTCAGGGCTCTTACAAGTCATTGTGTCTCTGAAAATACTGCATAGGTAGCTAAGAGGATTCTGAAAGCCCGAGAAAACCCTCAGACAAACAAACAAGCAAAAAGGCAGGTATAGGCATGTTGGAATGCACATATGCTGAAATGCAAAGCAGAGAGGGATGAGGGAGTGTATATCAAAGTGGTAAGAACATAGGGGTATGGGGAAGTGTATAGCAACATGGCAAAGGGGAGGGCTATATTCGAGTATATACTGAAGGGGTCAGAGCAGAGCCACATGGAGAAGGTACTGGCAGCATCTGCCATGACCACAACAGGTCTTTGGGCTCTGCTGTTCCCAGGCTATGAACATAGAAACATAAGCAGTAGAGATGTGGCTCTGGGACTCAAGTTTTTTCCTATTTTAAAAACTAGGAATTATCAAACATTGAGAATAATAAAGAAAAAGAAGAAGAAGAAAGATAGTCTGATTTATAAATGCTAGATTTTCAAGAGAGACAAGCATCTCACCTATATAGTCCAGGATGACTTTGAACTCTGATTCTCGTGCCTTAAACTCCTGGGCACCGGGATAACAGACACACACCTCTAAATCTAGACTTAGGTCTCTCAAGAAGTTTATACCTGCCTTGGATGGTAGAGGAGCTAGATGGAAAGGAAGCTTCGTGGGCAGGAGCACATCTGATGAGCACATAGGAGGTTGTAGGTAGGTGGGGGGATCTGTGAGGTTCAAAGATGTAAAGCCACACATGGGACCTTAGGCCCCAGGATGGAGATCCCTAATAAATAGCACCTTCTCCCATCACCAGACTCTAAACTGATCAGAAACGTGCATCAGACGCCCCACCTTTCTCTTAGGGTGCTGATTTTAGGAAATGGGTCTTTTTACTGGGGCCATGTTGGGTAGTTTTTCCTGGGATGGTATTTGTAGTCACCTCATATAGAGAAACTTAGGTTTGTTGTAAGTTGGAAGAGACCTGTGAGCCTCTGCCCTCTTTTGACATAGGTTCTCTCCTAAGAGTCCCCTTAAAAGGAATGCCACCTACCAGCCCTGAATTTGCCCAGTGAGAAAGAACCCCGTCAAACTTCTGACCTCTCAAAGTGCACTATCACAATGTGTGTCATTTCAAGCTAGGATATTTACTATGAAGACAACAGGAAACAGCAACGCAATAGGGTTTAAGCACTGCCCCATGCTCAGCCTGGGCTCCTTGCAGAAGCACCAGCCTCCCTATGCATTTCCATTCACTATTTGTTCAAATATGTCTGTTCTGCTCTGTAGAGACACCAGAAGGGCCACCTGGCACTGTCTTTGGAAGCTGAGCCCAGAGACTACGGTCATAAAGAGGATGTTATAGAGAGTTGTAGAATGTTAAATGAATCCATTGACCTCAAAAGCACTAGCTCTCTCTCTCTCTCTCTCTCTCTCTCTCTCTCTCTCTCTCTCTCCTCTGTCTCTCCCTCTCTCTCTCTCTCTCCTCTGTCTCTCCCTCCCTCTGTCTCTCCCCCTCTCTCTCCCTCTCTCTCTTTCCCTCCCTCTCTCCCCTCTCTCTCCGTCTCTCCTCTCTCTCTCTCTCTCTCTCTCTCTCTCTCTCTCTCTCTCTCTCACACACACACACACACAGACACACAGATAGTTGGCAACAGAGACCCTGCAGATGTCTCTCTTGCCAACAAATGAGTCATAGGAAATAATCAGCATAAGCAATGTACTATACTTCATCATATATTATGAATGCTTACTTTCTTGGAAGCTGACAAAAATCCTGATAGATTGTCACTTAAGTCATTATTATCCCCACTTCACAGATGCAGATACTAAGTCTCAGGAGCATAAGTTATTTATCCAAGTGCACATCTTGGAAACTAGCCTCCTATTACTCCCTAAGTCAGTGTTCTTCTCTTCCTGATTTACTTGTTGTTAACAAGGACAAGATTGAGAAAACTATTACGTCCTGAATTTGTTTTACAATATCTAGAGACTTTAGATCAGTAAAGTGCACAGAATAATGAATGTCCAACTGTGAGATATTCCTGCCCCAGTCAAATGGGCGGAGTCTACCTGTTTGCCTCTCCAGCCCTGTGATGCTTGCACTCCTAGCCTGATCACATAGATAGGTAGAGAGCTCCAGCACTTGCTGTGGTAACATCCACCCGGGAGCCTTCCCCCCACTTGTGTGTTGGGATGGGTTTAGCTCTTGGTCCACATGGTTCCTGCTCTTGGCCCACCACTTCCTGCTCTTGGCCCACCACTTCCTGCTCTTGACCCACACACTTCCTGCTCTTGGCCCACACACTCATTTCCAGGATAGTTTGTCTCTCACCTACCTCTCACGATTCTTCTATTCCTCCACCTTCCCCTACCACCCATCCTTTTACACACACACACCCACCACCCCCATAATGCACAGAAATTATCCCAGGACCCAAATATCTAAATAACAGTCATTCCATCTCTCCAGAAGGGAGACAAGCAACCACACAGGTGAGGCCATTTTCTATGAAGGGTTTTGGCCTGGCTTTCTTGAGCAGTGTGACTCACTGACAAGAACAAAGGTAAAGCTTTAAGGTACCACAGTGATGTGTCTTCATTATGCACCTTCTCTTGAGTGTGAAATGGCATGGGGAGGTGGGTATGAAAATATTGTATTAGGAGACTTGATTCTGGTATCTGCCAGCCAAAACCTGGGATTAGTGCTTACTTCTTATTGGAGTCCTTTATCCTACTGCCTCCATAATGCAGGCTGCCATCTAGCAGGAAGTGGGGGAAACCCGAGCAGTGTCCACACCTCACTCCGAGGTACATACTCTTCTTTCGCCTTAAATCATGAGTTAGTTGGAATAAGAACTTTAAAACTACCCTGTTCATGGGCAGGACAGCAACACTGAAAACTCAAAGGGTATAATAATACCATGAACAGACAAGGACATGTATCTACTGAAAGATACTCATACAAGCACATCCTTACCATGTGTAATGTTCATGGACATCCTGCAAGGTAAGTACCATTTATCAGGTCGTATTTAGGGAAACAAATCTCGGAGATAAAGTGTAATTCCCTGACCCCTATGCCAGTCAAGGGAGGAAAGCCAGGTTGATTTAACCTATCTGCTATTTCCATTAAATCCCTACTCTAAACACCAAGTGAAACTGTTAATGAGTTAGCGCTGCTTAAACCTGGCTAGTAGGTACCTGGGGATTCATTGTGCTGTTCCTGGGCTTTTGTGTATACTCTGGGCTGGTAAAAAAACAAACAAACAAACAAACAAAATCATGCTTCCAAGTATAACCATCATTGCTGGTTTCCCTTTCCCTCCAGATACCTGGCCATTGTCCACCCCTTGAAACCACGGATGAATTATCAGACCGCCTCCTTCCTGATTGCTTTGGTCTGGATGGTCTCTATCCTCATCGCCATCCCATCTGCCTATTTCACCACTGAAACCATCCTGGATATTGTCAAGAACCAGGAAAAGATCTTCTGTGGCCAGATCTGGCCGGTGGACCAGCAGCTGTACTACAAATCCTATTTCCTCTTTGTCTTTGGCCTCGAGTTTGTGGGCCCGGTTGTCGCCATGACCCTGTGTTATGCCAGGATCTCCCAGGAGCTCTGGTTCAAGGCTGTACCTGGCTTCCAGACAGAGCAAATCCGCAAGCGGCTGCGGTGCCGCCGCAAGACAGTATTATTGCTCATGGGCATCCTCACGGCCTACGTGCTGTGCTGGGCGCCTTTCTATGGCTTTACCATCGTGCGAGACTTCTTCCCTACTGTGTTTGTGAAGGAGAAGCACTACCTCACCGCCTTCTATGTCGTTGAGTGCATCGCCATGAGCAACAGCATGATCAACACCATATGTTTCGTGACGGTCAAGAACAACACCATGAAGTACTTCAAGAAGATGCTGCTGCTGCACTGGCAACCCTCTCGCTATGGCAGCAAGTCCAGTGCTGACCTTGACCTCAAAACCAGTGGGGTGCCTGCCACAGAAGAGGTGGACTGCATCAGGCTAAAGTAGCCTGCTGGTGAAAGACAAATTCGGTATTCAGTGTGTCATACACCATCAACCACACATGAGCTACATAGATAAAGATAGCTGTATTCATGCCCTCGTATCAAATGTGTCTGGAAGCTTCTATGTCCTAACATATAACACAATTGAAATCGGTGTAACACCTTAAGAGACTAGACACAAATGGCAGCAAGTGGTGTGGACTGAATGTCTTCTGTCTGCAAGCCCCACCAAGAGATTATTCAAAGACAGGATCTGACATTTGCTGATTACCTGCTATGTGCAGAAACAGTTCCCCTCTCCTCCCCAAAATGGTAGAATCTATTTGACGTTATCAAGCTGTATGTATCTACCTATCTACTTATCTATTTATCTATCTAGATCACTATAAAGAGGTCATAAATAACTAACCAGAGCCATGCTCCATATTCCCTCATCTGTATCTCATCCGCACACAACTGTCAAAAGGCAATAGAATAAAGCACTTAGACACAGTAGAAATGTAAGGATGACTCCATCAGTATGAAGCCCACTGTCTCATGGGAAGGGAGTTCATACAGCGTATTTGCCTTCCCCACTCAGCTCCAGCTATCTCCTTGATATCTGTATTTACTACAAGGGTGTGATTTCAAAGGGGGAAAACGTCTTTACCACTGATGTGTCAAATCTCATCAGCCTACAGGGTGAAGATGGGAAATCCCAAGACAAGAAATACATCTGGTTCCTATTACTTCAATGCCAAGGATTTCAAGGCTCTGGGATCATGGAGGGAGAAGACACAGAAAGAGGCAGAGGTTGCCAGCAGCAGTGAATATAATCTGTGTCCATTTGCTACAATTTGGATGGTTTTCTAGAACCTGTTCTGTCTTATAAAAGGAGCTCTACTTGAGACCCAAAGATCTGTGTAAAAATCCTAACTGTAGGCCTCATCTCTGTGTGTATCCACTTTAATGAACTGGAAATGATGAAAACAGATCATTGGGAAAGCCCATTAAAGTCATGGTGTGCATGATTTCCAGCTCTACCCTTATTAAGAATGTGACACTGAATAGCTCATTAGAGGGAGTTTGGAAATACCATTCACTGGGGGAGGGGGCGGTTTCATAGAGGAATGGCTTCACGTTTTCATCCCTGTTCTTTGGACCAGAGACTACTGAACTCATTTTCAAGTAGCATATCTACAGTGGGGCATAGAGGACCCCTGTCCCAGGCTGCAATCAAGAGGACGAAGTCAGTGCTTATCTTCTCAGCATCCCTACAGTCTTAGAAGCACTGACAGTCTTCCCAACACAGCATTGGTGAACCCCAGGACTGAATTTATTTGTATTATAATGACATCTACTGAACAATAGGGTTGGTTAGGTTGACCTGTCTGGTGAGATGTGTCTCCTTCCTCCTTCCCAGCCCCATATGCATCCCCTGCTTAAAGAGGAAGACCTTCTTCAACACAGGAGGACTGCTATTCTGTCAAGGGCATCATAGGTGTGTTGTGCTTCCATGATAAATCTCAATTTCTCCAGTAGACCCTGTACCCTTGGAGTGTGTCAACAGACTTCACATCCTTCTTAGATTGACACATACCATCCTCTCATTTAGATTTAGCTGAAAAACACTTATGTAAATATCAATGTGTATATGTGATATTCCTGTGAATAAAGTGTCCGTGGTTATCATATGGAATAATTAACATACAGAATTGTAATCCCAGTGTTCAAAGGGTTCCCTGCTAAGGTTTTGTGCTGTGTTTATATATTTAGACGTAAATGAAGTAATAGCTGTCTAAGCAACTCAAGCCTGAAATGAGAGGGAATTTCCAAAGGCGTTCTTAGAACAGGGACAACTCATGTTAGCAACTGGCCTCATACCCGTGTTCTCTCAGGAGTGTGTTCTTGGGTGTAAGTTAGCAGGGAACCATTGCCTTTCGTGCCCCCTTTTTTATTAATGATTTTTAAAATGCAGGCTTCTTTCACACAGAGAATATTTATGCCTCCAGTTAGAACTAAGGTACTAAGTTAATTGCATTTGTGTTCACCCTTCTCAGCACTAATTAAAGACAAGATTAAGATACTTTTTACATGTTACGATAAGTATACACTTATACCTACTATTTCACAATAAAAATTAATCTCATTTATTAAAGAAGATCCATTTTTCTTGTCCATAATAAGATAAAGGATGATTATTCAATGAAGCTGTTACAGGTTTTTGTTAAGTATCCGATGTTTAAAATAAGTTACTTCTAAAAATGGAAAAAATAAAAAATGATTCAGGCCCTCAAGGCGTGACAAACAGTTCCAGACATCACAAGGAAGAATGTGACATGTGGGACGTAGTTAGAAATCTTAACACAAGTTCTGTTTCTAGTCAAAAATGGTGACTTCAAAGCACATCCTCTGCATCCAACTATATATTCCCTTGGCCTCGAGAATAGGAACATGAACACACACACACACACACACACACACACACACACACACACACACACACACACACACCTCAGTAGGACACCAGACCAAGAAATGCCGTGAGGACATAAAATTTAGCTCCTTTCTTTGGCGGATCTGAATTCCAAAGACAGAAGCAACCTATAAAGGGTACACAGTTAATTTTCACTAGAGCTAAAGTCTTGTCCCAGGATGAGTAGCATTCAGTGACTGCCTACACCTCAATCCAAAGGACTTCGCACACCTTGGGAGCAGGTTCTAGAATATGGAGAACCTTGTTTAAGCCCCTAGATTTCTTTGCTTGTTAATTAAAAGGGGGTTAAAACCCCATTCTGGAAGCCTTATGGTGTAAGATCAAGAGACAAAGTGTGGGTTGCTCATGGAACCCAACTCTATCCAGAAGACATTCAAAGAATAGCACCCAGTTCTTATAAATAATCATTTCTCAAAAAAATTCCATGGCATATTTACATTAATATTTATTTTTAACATACACTCTCTTTTCTACGTACAGTTGAAAGTATTAAGTATACGTGTCCTTGTGAGCTGTTATGATATGTATGTATATGTATAATCTCATTGTAGGATTGCATGTTTGTGAATTTGTTTACAAACTAAAATTTATTTGTAACCCCCAAGTCAGTACTCATGATGCTTGTACAGACACACAACATGGTGACTTTTGACTGATCCAATGCACATTGTTTCCAGTAGAGGTTAGACAAGCTGAGACTCTGCCTTCTTATTTCAGTTGTAAACAAGTATTTGGTACAGGATGGAGGGGTGCATTTACATTCCACAGTGCAAGAGTCCCACTTGCACTTCATACTGTTTAAGGACCTCCGTATACACACTGCTAACAGCCTTTTTGTTCTGAGCTAACCTCTAGCCTACATGTTATCTAAATGGTGCCTCCTGAGAAATTGAAGACTCATTCACCAAGCAACCCCTTCTCCACTCCCCTTCCCAATCCCCATCCCTTGGCTACATATAAAAGATACAGGAGGAAACAAGGAGAGAGCCACCAACATCTAGGAACTCAGAGACTAAGCTGACCACCTGCAAGAGGGGCAAGACCAAATGTGGGAAAGATTTACAGACCTTTGTCCCGGTTCACTATAAAATTATGCTAACTGAGCCTGGTGGTGGTGGTGCATGCCTGTAGCCCCAGCACTTGGGAGACAGAAGCAGGCAGATCTTTTTGAGTTCAAGGCCAGCCTGGTCTACTGGTGAGTTCCAGAACAGCCAGGGCTATTACACAGAGAAACCCCCCTCAGAAAAAAAAATGCTGATTGAGGTGAACCAAGGAAGGCAGATCTCTACCAGGCTTCTTTGGCACTGGCTCTCTGGATGCAGCATACTCTATAGGGTCTGCTCCTGCCTGCTCACTGGCTTCTGTGGTAACAGGCAGCATTGTGCTCCAGTGTCCTGCTACATATGGGTCATGTCTTGTTTATAGGGCTCCCAAATGGTGCTTACATGATCCCAGGTAGGGAAGGCTAAGATACATCTCACATAGAAAATAGATATGTTAGAGAGGTTTTACTGTAGAGGCGTTGGCCATGAACTCGATGTCAAGGATGCAAGCACATATTAAATAAAGTATATTTCAATGGAAGTATACATTTAAAAGGTTATATGGTGATCAGCTAACAAAATGTGACCAGTGGCCTCAGAGGTGTAACCCCAAGCTTTCTTTGTGAGCAACTGATCAGTATTTGCTAAGTGCGTGTGTGTGTGTGTGTGTGTGTGTGTGTGTGTGTGTGTGTGTAATATTTTCTAATTCTGTATTTAATCACTTTATTGGACATTCTTGTAAAGAATGAGAATTCAGTCCTGTCTCTTGAGTTCAACCCTTGCTTGTCATAGCACATAACTTGGGACACAAGCTAAATGAAACCTAGGTCTGGGATCTTAATTAGCTAAACTGTCATTTCTTGCAGCATCCCTGCCACCCCTCCTTCCAAGTCTGCCACTCTGATGCAAATTGAAACCGTTGAAGAGTGAGCCCTGTTGATGGAAATGCACACACTCACCCAAGCCATAGCCCACATTTTCTGCAGCCCACAGGTCTTAAGAAAAAAGCTTTCTCCCCACTAAAAGCCTGATAACTATTGATAGGTAGCTCTGTAGTGCTGTTACAGAGAGAGAGGAAGGAAACCACACTCATGCCTCTTCATCCTATCATGGGAAGGACAGCACTGGCAAATGTTTAACTCAGTGTTTGTGTGATATCTCCAAAGAAAGATGATGATGATCTTTGCAAGGCCATAGTGAGAGGCTGTTGTTAATAGGTAATGCAATTTCTTTTCTGTTCTTTTGTTGTTTTGTTTTTTTTGTTCTGTTTGGTTTTTTGAGATAGGATCTTTCTATGTAGTTCCAGCTGTCATGGATCTTACTAGGTAGATCAGGCTGGTTCTTTTGCTTTCTTTTGGTTTGATTTTTGGTTTTTTTGGTTTTTCAAGACAGAGTTTCTCAGTGTATCCTTGGCTGTCCTAGAACTCACTGTGTAGACCAGGCTAGCCTCAGACTCACAGAAATATGCCTGCCTCTGCCTCCCAA